AGGTGTTCTCTTCACGCCCCGGGGGCCCCCTGGCCCATCTGCGGGCTCTGCCCACTGAGGATGAGGAGGACTACGGCCACTGTCCGGCCTGCCCCCCCAACAGGAGGGTGAATGGGTGGCCCCAGAGGCGGGGGTCCCTCAGGCCCACGAGCTGAGCTTCATTGGGGGCGAGGCTCCCTGGAGCCGGGCACTGATTCACGTGGGGCTTTAGGAGGCGGCAAGTAGGTGACTCGGGCGCGCCTGTGGGGCGGACGTGGAAGCCCGGGACAGGGGAGCTTCCCTCCCAGACCTGGGGGGGGCCTGCCCCCACCCCCCGGCAAGGTGTTGGGTGTCCAGTAGCTGCAGCGGCTTCTGCTCACTCCCCACCCGTTCAGGAACCTGCTCTGCACTCTCTGCCCCCGACCCATGGCACCCTTCCTCCTGTGCTCGGGACCCTCACCCATGCTTGGGCACGGGAGGTAGGTGGACAGAGGCCCACGGTGGCCTTGCTGTGGGTTCTCCTGCTCCTCCTTCCCAGGCCTGGTCCCAGCTCTCAGAGCCTACAGCCCCATTTAGGAATCTCGCTGCAGGAAAGCTAAGAATCCTTACTGGTTCTGAGAAAAACATTTAGATTCCTGATAGAACATTCCAGAACTGGGTGGGGAGGAGGCGGACTCTGGCTCCCAGGCCCTGGGCACATTTGGAACCTGGTGGTTGGGGTGGGGAGCAGGGGTGGGAGCTTAAGCCCCCCCTCAGCCCTGGATCATCACTGGCTTGGGGTGGGGGGCGCAGCCGCAGGAAGAACAGGTTTTCACCTCCGGGTCTGTGCTAAGGCCGGGTCGGTGGCTGAGCAACCGCAGGCTGCCGCCACAAGGCAAAGACCAGACACTTGTTTCCCCAGGGAGGCCACACGCGTGTGAACAGCCGGCGGTCAGCAGCTGCCGCCCTGGGATGTGGGGGACACGGGATGGGCGGCCGCCGGGGCCAGGCCCTCCGCGCAAGGGCGCACGTGCCGCCCGGTCAGGGCCCGGGGCTCGTTTCCGTGGGGGAAGGGCCCCCGGGCCCAGAGTTTCGGCGCCGGGAGGGGAGCGGACGCAGAAGAGGCAGGAGGCCGGGTCGTGCTTAGTGTTTTATTCCCCGAACACGCCGCGCTAGGGCCGCTCCTGAGGCACCTCACGGAGTCCTTCCAGCTTCCGTCGCGGCCGGCAGCCTGCCTTCCGCTTCCTCCGACCGCACACCCACGACCCTCCTGTGACAAGTCCGCTTCTTCGCACCAGTTGAATGATGAAGAGACGTTAAATGGAGTTACGACTAGAGACGGGGGTCAGGGCAGGCGAGCCTCACTCCGTGCAGAGGACGGCGACGCCGCGCTCGTAGAAGCTGCGCGGGTCCTCCTTGGTGGCGATCTCGAAGTCGACCGTGAAGATGAGGTCTGCCCGGGTGAAGTTCAGGTAGACGGGCAAGGTCACCTAGAGGAGAGGACAGGCGCTCGCCGCCGGCTCAGGCACACGGCACCCGCCGGCCCCAGACGGCGGAAGGGGCCACTTACCACGTTAGCCTTTCTCTCGGCGTTGGTCTGCTTGACCCAGCGCAGCTGCGTCAGAGGAAGGACCGTGGAGATGGCGTGGGACAGCGACAGCTTGTTGTTACTGCACGTGGCCCCCTGAAGCTTCAGGCCTGCGGGAGGAAGTCCGGGCCCGTCACCAGCGGTACCGGCCATGTGACTCCGTGCCGCGGTCACGGCTCTGGCGTGCTGCCACCGTCACCTGGCCGGGAGCGACGCCGGAAGGGCCACCAGGGCCACCCGTGAGGAGGCCCAGGTGCAGGGACCGGGAGCCTCGGGGAGCAGCCCAGACAGAGAGGCTGAGGACCTCAACTCACCCGTGACCCCAAAGCTGCAGGCATCGAGAGTGGCGCTCTGGGAGGTGGTGACGTTGACTTCCAGGCAGAGCTCCTCCAGGGACCAGCTGTTGGCCTGGGCCACGTACTGCCTGGTGGCGGTGATGTACGCCTCGGGGACAAACAGGCCGCCCAGACACACGTGGATGTTCTGTGGAAGCAGCGACCCCCGGTGAGGAGCGAGCACCACCCCTTGTCTCGGGTCACGCTGGGGTCTGGGCTAGTCCCCTGGGCTCCCGGGTGCCGCCCCTCCCCCAGGCTCCCGAGGGGCGGCCTTCACCACCTTCAGCTCCTTAGCACCGCCGGACGCAGCCGCCTGGGAGATGTTCTGTAGCTGCTTGACCCTCTCGCTGAAGTCGGACACCCACTGGATGACGGTCATGCCCGCGGGCACGGTGTAGTGGGACCAGCTCCGAGGCAAGATGCCTGCAAGCAAGGTGACCCCAGGCAGCGTCAGGTCTGACCACTCCCAGGCACACACGGGTCAGTGCTCGGCGGCTTCTCTGCTCCGCCCGCCTCCCTCCCTGACCACACCTCGCAGGTCCCGGATGGGCCGCCGCCAGCTCTGCATCTGCTCCGTCCAGCGTAACTGGGGGGGAGGGGGGGCGGTGTGTGGAGGACCCCAATCACCCCCCCAAGGAACGCCTCAGCGGCTAACTCCCCTCACACAACAGCTGTGCCTCACCCCATTCAGCTCTCGGGGTGGATCGGAGACCCCTGGGGGCTCTCTGTTCCTAAACTCAAGCGCCCCACTTTTATTTTTTTATTTTTTTTATTTTTTTTTTTTAAAGATTTTATTTGAGACAGAGAATGAGGTAGCGCATGAGAGGGTCAGAGGGAGAAGGAGACTCCCTGCCGAGCAGGGAGCCCGACGTGGGACTCGATCCCGGGACTCCAGGATCATGACCTGAGCCGAAGGCAGTCGCTTAACCAACTGAGCCACCCAGGCGCCCTCAAGCGCCCCACTTTTAAATGTGCTGCCCGCCCCCCTAAAAACTGTAAAGATTTAATGAATGTTCAGAGAATCAGCAAATAAAACCTCTCGGGCCCTTCTGAGCCCGACCCCCAGGGAAGGGCCCACGGCTGCTCTCAGGGGGACGCGGGCGCAGAAGGGATGCGCTGACCCTGCAGAGCGGCGGCCACGTGCCCCCCGCGCAGTGAGGGGGCGACATGGGAGGGCCAGTACCTTTCACCAGCTCGTTTATAAGGGTGCGCAGGTAGTTGGTCTGTTTCTTCTTCCCTTCACACACTTGGACGACATCCGCCAGATCCTGGCGAACGTCCTGAAGTAACTTAGCTCCCATCTTCACTTCCCTCTCAAAGAACCTGAACAGAGGATCCTACGATTGTCCAAGAGACGAGAAAGCCCGAGTGAAGAGGAGGCTTTAGGAAGAGCCCCTCCTCCAGCGGGACCTCACAGCCCCGGCCCGAGGCTCACGGCTTCCCCCGCGCTCGCTCTGGGAACCCTGCCCGAAGAGCAGGAACAGCTGCCGCCGCTTCCTCGGGGACTCCCTCACCTCGCTCGTGCAGACGGACCCCCCGCGAGAGGCCCGCCCTCGTGCCGGAGCCTGGGCGTAGATGCCCGCCGGCTGAGACTACCCTGAGCCCGCCAGGACCGTGGACACCCGGGGGCCGCCCTGCCCGCTCCCGGCCACCTTGATGTTCTCCACCGTCCGCTTGAGGTGGCTCAGCGTCTGCGGGATGAGGTGCAGCCAGTTGGACGCGGTGGTGTGCAGGGTCCGCATCCAGGCGGGGCGCCCGTCGGACGTGGAGTCGGTCCTCGCCTTCTTCTCAGTCTCGGCGTAGGCCAGGTCGTCCTCGTCCTCCAGCATCTGCATCTTCAGCATCTTGCTGATCATGTCCACGCCTGGACCGCAAGCCCACCAGAGGCGCGGGGAGGGGGACGGGCAGGAGGGCAGAGGAAAGAGAACGTGAGTGTACAGGCCACGTAATGTGTCACCTGCATGGTTCCACGGGGGGACGTGTTTCTGAAGCACAAAAAACACCAGGCCAGAAAGTGAGGCGGCAAATACAGAGGAAGACTACGACCCGACGGAGGCGACTGGGCCTGAGCCAGCAGCCTGAGCGCAAAGACAAGAGGGAGGCTGCTCGAAGACTCCGCATTCACGCGTGGTCGTATCGGGCTGGGCTCTGGGGCAGGCCAGGCTCCCGCCAGGGAGGCCACTGCGCTGTTAACCCCCCGCGTCCTGGGCTGCCCACGCCCACCGCTCTGCCTCAAACACCGACCCCTGCCTTGTGCAAGCCTGACCTCATCCTGTCCCTCACCCGGTCCGGGAGTGCTGGAAGTCAAGTCCCCAAGCAGCACTGGGGGCCCATGTGGGCTCAAATGTCAGGGCCTCCCGAGGGGAGCAGCCATCAGCCCAGGCCTTCAGGGATGCTCTAAGGGGGCAGGGGGTGTGACGTCTGGGGGCTCATCAGTATTGAGCGGCCCAATCCAGGCAGCTAGCTGCTATTAGAACAGAGCGAGGGACAAGTCCTACACACCATTCCCCTGTCATGGGGGCCAACCTGGGGTGACAGTCACCACTGTTAAGACGCTACAGGATTTCTCAGTACAGGCTTTTGTACAAGAGCGTGCTCCCACCCAGCCCTGGACCCACCGGAGCCTGCCCTGCACCTAGACCTCAAACACAACGGCCGGCAGCCCAGCCTCTCGTCTTGGTGGCCTAGGGGACGACGGCCACCTCACAGAGGGGGGCGGTCTGGCATGCAGTCCAGGTTGTCCTCAGAGAGCAAGCGCTGTAACCAGGGCTTCTCGTGCAGAGCTGAAGGGAGGGCCTGAAGGAACTGTCCGATCAAGCAGCTGCATGAGTTTGGGCGAATCTGGCTCCCATAAAGAGAAGCCTGGGTCAGATCAGTGGTGTGCAAGCTCGCGGACACAGCCACCACCCGAGTGCCTGTTGGGCAGACAGCCGGGCCCCGGCTTTGGACTCAGGTGTCTGAGGCAGAATCTGCGTTTATAGGAAGTTCCAAGGCGGCTAATGCCGCTGGGCTGGGGACCACACTCTGAAAACCCCTGCCTTCTTGAATAGTCTTGAAAAAAAAGCATAAGGAAAAGAAAAACCTAAGAAATATTCTAATAAAAACTAATGGTTTTAAAACCTCACGTAATACCAGACACCTTTCAATTCTTTAAGAAAAAAGAAACGATACCTGAATGTACGCTGAAAACGGACATGTAATTTTCAGACCTCAATGACCTGAGCATAAACTGTGGAAGAGACGCCAACTGCAACCAACTGTTTTCCTTTCCTGACTCCACCCCACCCCGAGGAGAGGCAGAGTCAGCAGCGGAAGAGCCAGCAGGGGGGGCGGGGAGGGGCTCCCGGGGGCCGGTGCGCGGAGTACCCACCCTGGGTGGTGAGTAGGACTCTTTCGGCGTTGTTGGGCAGGCCCAGCCAGGAGGGCGTCTGGGTGTCGGGGAGCAGCTCCACCCACTGGACAAACTCCTCTCTCCTGGAAAACCAGCACATTTGGAAATGCCATTGTGCCTGATGCAGTTAAGTACCTGGTGTGGCAAAGGTCGAGGTCACGGGAGGCAGGCTCGTTCGTACCTGATGCCATCCGGCATCTGAATGTCTTTGTGCCCATCAACCTTGCAGGCCAGCTTAAATTCACTATCAAAACTCTTTGTTGTGAACAGACGCTCCAGGAAAGTGTTGAGCAGACGCTGATCGAACTCATTGTCCACTCGTCCGCCATAGATGGACTGGGCCATCAAGGTCTTCAGTGCGGACCACGGGATCTTATCTGGCGAGATGTTCTGCCTCCCCTGTGTGAGGAAGGCTGGGTTTTGTGGGGGCCGGTCGGGGGGGCACTAGCACAGCTTGGCTCTCCGTCTTCTTCCTCACACCCACCTCAAACAGGACTCCCCGCTGTCTGCCACGCCCACGCACGCTCTGAGCGCTCCCCTCCCATCTCTGACACGGCCGCCCGCACTTGCCTTCGCCGTGTCATCCAGCCACGTGTCCACCGTGTCACAGGCCGAGCGCAGGTCAGATTCCCCAAATTCATACTTCTTCGACCAGCCCAGGGGTGCGTATCGTAAGCGTTCTTGGATGATCGCGTGGAACCAGGCCAGCAGGAAGTACAAGCGAGCGCGCTCGTTGGGAGACTGGATGAGGAAGATTATCAAGGATGGAGTCCCCAGGAAGCAGCACCCTTTCTAGCTAAGACAATAGCGTGACTCCTCTGTCAAAGTTTTACAAAGAGCCCTCCAGGGGCGCCCGGGTGGCTCAGGTGGCTAAGCATCTGCCTTCGGCGCGGCTCGAGCCCCGCATCGGGCTCTGCTCAGCGGGGAGCCTGCTTCTCCCTCTGCTCCCCACCCCTGCTCATGCACACATGTGCTCTCTCTCAATAAATAAAATCTTCAAAAAACAAAACAAAACAAAAAGGCTTTCCACCCTGAACCACAAATATCAGGACTTCCGATGTGACACATTTTAACGAGTGCTACTGCCAGAAATTAAGTGCCAATTTTCCTATTAATAAAGGTATATTCCAATGACACTGTGGAGATCAATTATTCAACCACAAAAAATGATACAGAAAACAGATTTTCTGAACTCGTCAGCAAAGGTGGATAATGGCACAAAATAAAATTGTACTTCAGGATCCCCCTCTTCCTGCCCGTGAGCCTTGGGGGACCATGCTTGGGAGCACAGGACTGCCAGACATCTCCCCAGACACAAATCCGGGCTCTGGCTAGAGAGAGACGCGGGGGGCGTCTGCTCACCTGGGAGCCCGCCCGTCACACACCTGCAACCAAACACTGTGTGCATATGTCTTTCAACCTACTCTCAGGAAGGGAAATTTGGCTACAGTTAAGTAAGATTTCTAGTGCAATTAGCCATTCTGGTGTTTCTGGGAAGCATGGAGACCTGCTTCTGAATTCAGTGATGGCACTGGGTGTCTCGGACTTGTCCAGATCAAGGGTGCCAGGAGAAAGCGACGTGTACCTTGCAAATCCGCGACACAGGGATGCTGCTGAATGTCCTCAGCATGTTGGCCTTCACCCCCGGGGGCGGCTCAAACACGAAGATGCGGCCCGCTCGGAGCAGATTCACGGGCACCTGAGGAGGACAGGGCTCCTGTCACCGCTCTGGTTTGCTGTGTGCTTCAGCTCAACTACACACACACGCGCGCACACAGAATTTTAGGACAGAGAGGCCACACGAGCACGCCCACCAGGCACGCACCTTGGGGTTAATCTCCATGGTTAGAAAGAGCCGGAAGCAGGCGTGTGGCTGCAGGGAGTGCAGCTTCTTCTCCAGCTGCATCAGCCAGCCGGGGGCCAGGTGGACGTTCTTCAGCATCACCCACCTGCATGGGCAAAGCGAGAGCCACAGCCACAGTTCAGGTTTCCGGTCGGAATGCTTGGGAACTAAGGCATTCTGAAACAAAACCGGCCTACCTGCCCGACTTCACGGCTGTATTTATTGCTTTATCTGCTTGGTTGAAACCTTCTGCGGAGCCTGGTGTCAGAAAACTCAGTGTCAGAAGGGCAGGCCTGGACCTCAGGGTCCACCATGAATTCCAAGGGGGCATCAGCCCATAAAATTGATCAAGCACCCTTACCGATCGCAATCGAAGTGATCTGTGTGTTCTGTTCGGCTGCAAGGTCTTCGACGTGCCCGCTGGCATCATACCCAGGCACAGAGCACATTAGGACAGGAGTATTAGGCTTGACCTACAGATGCAGAGGTCAGAACTAAGAGGGCATCCCATCAGACGGTGTGCATCTGTCGAGGGGAGAGCCCCGCGGCAGGCCTTATGAAGGCTCGCCCTGGCCCTGAGGTGTGGGCGCTGTGGGACTGACCAGGTTGGGAGTCCGTGGCGGGCATGTGGCCTCACGAGGGGACAGTGGCTGGGCGCCGGAGTAGGTGAGGCATACCCGAGCCTGCAAGGGGCTGGAGCCATACCTCAGTGTCCACAATATGGGTCAGGTCGAGCGGCTGCTCCATGATGGACATGAAGGACTCGCCGAGGTTTGTGGAAACAAACATGTGGGCCATGGCTAGCAGGCGGTCGGGGCGGAAAGCCTGAATCAAGAGCAGGCGGTGGATGGCCTGCCCGATGGGTGCTGAAAGAAGGCACGTGAAGGGTTGGGGGGCGGGCACAGCACAGACTCCGAGCCGCCCCCGCTGGGGCGGGTCTCCCTACAAGCCCCTGCTTGACAAATGCTCAGTGTGCAAGAATCAGCTCAAATGACACCTCAGAAATCGTGCTGCCGCCTCTGGCCCCCTCCGCCCCAAGGAGAACTGCGACCGCCTCCTGTCTTCAGTGAACCCTCCGGACACCCTTGTGACAGTGCCGACCGCGTGGGCCTCTTCGTGGACACTGTGGCAGTCACCGGTTTTAAACGACTCCATGGACACCCACCCGCCGCAGGCACCTGAAGGTTCTCAGCAGCGTCTAGGGCAGAAGCTAGCAATCGCCAGCCTCACCCCTGCTGGGCTGCAGCTGCGCTGAGCCCGCCCCCCCCTCCCCGCCTGAGCTGGTCAGCCCAGGGCCTCGCGGGCCACTCGCCCAGCGAGCCCACCTCTCCCTGGACGCTGCACAAGGGCCTGCCTATCTAGGCCTCTTTTGGTCTTCCAGCCTGACTGGAACAGGAACGAGGACCTCAAGTTTAACGCGGAGACGCTCATTTCAGGAACTGGTGACTTTTTTGGAAGCGTCCCTTCACTCAAGCAGCAAAACCCAATTTCACATTCGGGTCCAGAATGAGAACACCGGGGAGGCCCTGGCGCGCAGGCTTACTGGAGGGGGCTTCTTCACTCCAGAGGTATGGGACCGTCTGCTCCGGGGAGCTGCTGTCCAACCAGATGCCAAATTGCTATGGGGACAAGACAGAAAGTGTCGCCGTGAGCAAAGCCCATTTTTGTAGGCAGAGAAATTGAGATGAATGGATCAGATGGCTGCCGTGAGTGCGACACACACAGTCCCCCATGGCCAAGTTCCTGGGAAGAGGCCGGGAAGCGTTCAGAACGCTCACCTCGTCGGCCTGAACCTTTGCAATCAGGTCTTTGAACGCAGGGAGACAGCTCAACCTCACAACCGCCTCGGCCTGCTCCACGGTCAGGCCCTGGATCTTGGGCGTCGAGCCAGCACTCAAGACGATCTCCTTCCCTCTCAGGAAGTGCTGGAATTCGGCATCGTAGGTGGGCTCCCTGGGAAGGGGGTAACAGGTTAGCAAGGGTCTCTGATTCACTTCTGCTGCCACCAGAAGAGCAGTAATAGGAAGGATTTTATTCCCTTTCCTTAAGCCCCCGTTCCGTGCTAGCAGGTGACCCACAAAATGAGGACGCTCTGTGGGGGCAAGCACGGCAGGGCGGCCGACCTTACCCGATGGTGCCCTTCAGTTTGATTCTGGCCAGCAGCATGGCGAAGGTGATGTGGTCCTGGTGGAGCATGCCCCTGGCCACCCGGTTAAATGCCACCTGGAGACGAGAGTGGGAAACGCTGCTGTCCCCCGACAATGACCTCCCATCTTCCCTCCCCGGAGACAGCCAAGCGCTGGGCGCCCTACCTGGAAGAGATCCTTCGTTATGATGGAGAGGCGCTGCGTGTGGTCAGTGATGCCCTTGAGGTTCGGGTTCTCATACAGGACGTTATGATAAATGTCCAGGAAGAACTGGAGAGAGTACTGGTACAGGAAGTGGATCTGGAAGTGAATGGGGGACAGCAGTTAGGCGGGAGGGCGCAGAGCGCGGCGCACCGTCCCACAGCGGGGGGCTCCCACGGTCACCTGCTTCAGGGACTCCATGGTGAAGTAGATGCTGCTGCAGGCGGTGGACAGCGGCAGGTACTGCTGGGACACGGTCTCCACCTCCTGCATGACGATGTCTGTCTCCTCCACTTTCCTCGTCACCTCGGCGGCCTCTCTCTTGAGGTTCTCCAGAGTCGTTATGATGGTGTCGTCATCCAGGATGCGCCCCTTCACCTCGTTCAGAGCTTGCAGCAGGGACTTCTCCAGCTGACGCAGCCGGAGCTGGAACTCCCCTGAAACGATCGGAACACCCTGAGGGTGCCAGTACCTATCTATGCTCTTCCAGAAGGAAAGCTCTCCCGAGTGTCTGAGTAAACCTGACGTGTTCCAGGCCCTTCCAAGTTCACCCCCAACCGGCTCCCAGACTCCCGAAGCAGACCCAGAAACACACCTTGAAGTTTAAGAAGGTCGGAGCGCTTTTCATCCACGTCTGGCCTTTCCGCTTTCAGGACTTCATTCAGACACTGGCTCTGTAAACTGCTACGGGTGACCGTGAAGTTGACAAACGTGACCCGGGAACACAAGTCTGGTGGGAACTCCACCTACCAAAAGGAATAACAGAACCGTCTGCTTTGTCCCCTGAGCTGTGACACCAAGGGCCGCCACAGCTGCCTATCCGAGGTGCCTCGTTCCTTACAGTTGGATCTCGGGTGGACAGGAAGATGACAAACGACGGTGATAAGTCTATGTCCTGGTCGCCGAGGGTGATCAGCACTCTCCCCCCTGTTCGCCGAACTTCGCGGTTCAGTACCGGATTCAACACCGGATCGTAGCTCTCCACATCCTATGGACATACACGGCAACGTTAACGGCCAGGGTTCCACAGGATTTATTTTCACCCGAATAACGGTGCATTGACATTGACTTCCTGCTCCAGGTAAATACACCTCACAAACCCCCTAGCCACGGAGACCTACACTGTCCAGTATGACAGTAGCCATGAGCCACCTGCGGCCACTTCGTTAAAACATTCAGTTCCTCAGTCACCCTGGTCACACACCCGTCCACCACACTGGGCAGCACAAATCAGTGCAGAAAGTTCCAGTGGATCGGGTTGATCGAGACCAAACACTGTTTTGTTGGACTTACTTTTCATAGAACAATCGCAAATCTTTATCCTTTGACAACAAACGAGTATGAAGTTCAAAAACTACCAGTTTGGATCGCAGACTTCAGTTTTACATCGCATCAACTGTCTGCTGCACACACCTGCACCAGAAGGGGGTTCCCAAACCTCAGCGCGCTCTCCAGGTTCTTCCGGAAGGCGTCATCCAGGAAGCTGGTGCGCGTGATCTTGCGGTCCTTATACTCATTCATGATGAATTCTGTGGCCTGGCCAGAGGGGTCGATGATCAGCGGGTACCTGAGGGTGAAGAGACATTAGAGTAGGTTCAAGGAGCCCCGACAAAGACAATGGGAAGGCTGTCCCCACCATTTCAGCACAGTCTCCAGAGTCTCCCACGAAGACAAATGGGACAAAGGCTTGATGCTAAAGCCGTCTTTTTGAAGCGCTTCTGAAGGAGCTAACAAAGTCACAGACTCCCTGGAGCAGGCAGAGAGGGTTTAAACCACCAGGGACCCTGACAAATGGCAGACACAACTTAGTCCTCACAAGGAGCCCGGGAGAAGGTACCGTTAGCATGTCTGTTTTACGAATGAGGAAGATGGGACGCTCAGAGGCTACAGCAATGGGTCCAGGATCACGTGGCCAATTAAAAACCTGTTTTAGGGGCGCCTGGGTGGCTCAGTTGGTTGGGCGACTGCCTTCGGCTCAGGTCGTGATCCTGGAGTCCCTGGATCGAGTCCCGCATCGGGCTCCCTGC